TTATTATAGTTTTAGCAGATTGTTATGATTCGTAATACATAATTTCTTCAGATTTTTTGGAAAGGTAAAGGGAATTTGGGATTGCCTATTACTGATGCCAATCATCATTTTTTACGCATCAAAGGTAATATATTAATTGAATTGACTCATTTCTACATATGAAAATATTTGAAATTGTATATAACACTCATTTAATGAACAAAATATTTCTATCATATGAATGATAGGAAATATCGTTTTTTAATCTTTTTGACTATGATAAACCTTTTCAAAAAATCTGAACAAATTGTACATTACTAATCATAAGAATTTCCTAAAACAGTAATGATATAAGCATGGTCAACCGTATATTTAAGACAATAATCTAAACAAATAAGGATTTTAATTTGTTTAATTATGTTAAAAGTTACACATTATCGTAATTAAAATAATAATAGTAAGACTCAAAAACGGCAAAAATATAAACGTGGTCACATGATAACGTCAATATAAAATCAGCATCTTTATTTTTTTTTAGTTGTCTAAAATTCCATTTTGCAACTAAAAATACTGAAAAATTCAGGAACATATACGCTTTCAGTTAGATAGTCTATAATTTTTTTCATAATTTTTTATTCGATACAATAAAAGAAATGGAGCTTAAACTGTAAATTATGTTTTGCCTTATAACTACCCTAGTAGTAAGGGTAGCGAGTTAATAGTCGACAGAAAAATTTTTCTTTGTGGGGCTTATCTACTGAAATGTCCAAAATTGAATTTAATTTGGAGATACTTTTACCATGCTTATTCGGCTATACGTAAGATACGAAGATATGACAATTACAAATAAGTCGATCCAATGCAAAATGGGCAAGTAACCCAATACAATTGACAACGTTGATTCTGGAGATGTAAGAGAAACAATAGAGATACAGAATATGATGCGTTTAAGAAATCGAATAGATGGAACGACTGGTCGCGCTAGCGTCGCTTCCGGTGACCTTTAGAGCGCTCAGGATGACCGTTACGCGTGTCGTAACGTAACGTAGTGTACCGTAAGGTAACGTTACGAGTGTCGCGTTCCATATGCGACTCGATATAAAAGGGGAATCCTCCATCGGAGAAAACATCTTTGCCTCTCGTTGCGAAGACAACGTACCGCTATGCGACAATTTATTCCAGCAAAAAACGACGCGATTCGACAAGCTATTCCAACGACGATGGCATTTTACGACGCCTCCGCGGATTATTGGAAGGCAGTAATAACCCTCCCAGTGTCAATAACTGGGACACCCTTTTGCATATTTTGCAAAAAATTTGGTCATTTTTTATTTAAATTGGATCCTCATTTTTTAGTTGATTATTGGTTTCAAAATAAACATTTATAGGAAAACATTTGAGTATGGAGAATTCTGATATATTTATACATTAATTTCTTGAATGAAATCAAAATTTTATTACTAAAAGTTTTGAAGGTCTAGTTAAGTTTTAAATGTATTTAGAATTTACAAATCTGCTTCGCTTATTTCACTACACATAAGAGCAAAAACAAAGAAAATAATAGTTGTTTTTTTATATTTATATTCTTGTTTGATAAATGATGTATCCATGTACCCGTATAACGAAAGTTGTAATTAGATCTATTATAAACAGTTGCGTAAGAACATTTTACCAGTAAATTATGTAGAACATAAAATTCTTGAGTACAATTGTTTATTTGCTTTCAACAGAAAAGAAATTTTTAGACTTTGTAAATCAATTTATATTCTGTTAGTAAATTGGTCGTTGGAAATTCCCTGGCAGAACTGTCATGACACGTATAACACAATCTTAACTTTCTTTTTTTCACTTGCACCTCTTATCGCTAAAAAAAATAATGAATTTCATGATAAAAAAAAATGTAGACTTTATATAATTATATATTTCAAACAAAATATATTTCTTTCGCGTTGTTCTAGTTCTGACGATAACTACACTCGTATCTATTTTTGATTGTTCTATTTCAGGTTAAAATTAAAAACGATAAACTGCGGGAAACATTCAATAATTTAATTATATTATTGTATTTGATACTGATAATTGCATGAAAATATGTTATTTTGAAAAATAATTGAATACTTTACTATTATTTTAAAAATTGCTTAAAATCGAAGCTCCCAGGCTCCTTCTAAATGATTTTTAATACCGGATAAAGTTCAAGAAGACACTTTTAACCAACTTTTCGGGTCACTGTTCCACTGTGAGCCGGTGTTCTGTTGTTTTCGGATGGATCCAAGCGCCCAGAATTTCCCAACGCGCTTGAGAACTCGCCTATTCGTTGTGACACGAGCAAGGAAAGCAATAACGAAACTTGTGTAACACGAACGGCACAATTCTCCGCAGACCGGCATCCTCCGCCTTTTCCCCGTCGCTTTTACAACGAACGATCGCGAGCCGTCTGCGAACTGGAGCGCGATACGGCGCTTAATTAACGCGAAAATATGCCGTGGCCCGAGAGCGATCGGTCCGAGTGATCTACATTTTTTAACGGAAATCGAGACGGTTCATAGAAAATTACGCGCCATCGATATGTTCGAGTTTCGTGAAATTTCTAGAAAGAGCACAAATCAAACGGATCATTGAACTTCCAATGTCCCCGTGTAATTAATCTTGACGTCCTTAATCTTTTCGTCTCTAACGGGAAAGCACGGCCTATGAAATGTTAATTTTACAATACCGTTGGAATTTTTTGACTCAAAAATAGCAGGAAATTATTTTTGTTTTCTGTAGATTTACTGTAAAAAAATTGTACAGTCGAGTACAATCGATAAGCAAAATTCTTAACTGATTCAATAAAAATTTTAATTATAAATTAAACGTTACGAATAAATTGCTTGTATCGATTGCTTATTTTACACAAATATAATTTTGCTGGACTCTGTTAATCGACAAGTACATGAAAGACCCGATAGAAGCAGGAAGGAAAGGTGCAGACCAGAAAAGTAAACGAAGTTACGAACGTCCTCCAACATCTTCAATAAGAATGAAAGTTTTTGATGACCATCTACCTACATTGACTGGAATGCAATCACGTCGAAAAAATAATAGAAAGTCAGCTGATAAATGTTCTTTACGTGCAAACAATGCAAAGTTCCGCTGAATTTCGAATGTTTTGGTCCTTACATAAATGTCAGAAAAACTTATTTTTTATCAATTTCTAATTTGCTTTCCGTATTAATTTCTCTTACATTTCTTTGTGAATGTTTTCTCAGATAAAATACTATTGAGTTACAATATCCCAGGACTTTTCGGAACACCCAATTTTTGTATAGCTTTATAATTAATATTATCGATTGTAACGACCAAAATACGCAATCAAAGATTATTTTTTAAATCATACAGTCTAAAGTTGGGTTTACAGAGTTAATCAAATGGAATGGAACCAGAAAGAGATACCAACAAATTTCTAACACGTAACCAAAATCAATTCTACCCAAGGTCGCTTTCACCAGATTCCTTTTCGCCAAAGAACGTCGTCGAGTACCATGATTACACCTTGAAGGTCGTTAAAATATGTTCGGTTAATACATGGTGTTACTGCATGAATTCCGTCCGTCGATTAATCCTTGTACATCAGTGGTGCACAACCTTTTATGCTGAGAGATTAAATAAAATAAAATAACATTCTTTCGAAACTATCTTTCGAATAAAGTTGGAAATTAAATAATATAGATTCATTATTATAGATTGAATGGTTCAACATGTTCATGTAACATTGGGTCGATCAATCACAAAGTCAGAATTTGTTACAATTTTTACAAACCTAAACTAGAATTCATGGAATTTACTAAAAGAAATGTATACATGTATGTATGTACAAAGGTTTATTAAAACATCATGCCTTTTATTGGCTTCTTAAGACGGAAAACGCACGCAGACCGACTTTGAATATTAAATACAAGCTATTTAATATTTGACCTCGATAAAGTCACAAGTTTTAATGGTATTTAGATTTTCATTTTCTTTTCGTTTTGTTTTTATTCATACTCACGATTGAAAAATGTATCTGTATATTTTTGGTGTCTTATTTTCGTAAAATGTTATTTGATCAAAATTAAGAACGAAGCAAATCAAATTAAGTGAAATTGCCAATGATCACAGATCATCACAGATTTTCTTCGTTTTTAAATATGTTAGAAAGGACGATATTTTCAGTAAGTTTTTTAAGATATTTGCAACGAACTATTGCTGGATAAAGACCTAACTCAGACCTAATTGGTGACTGTTTTAACTGATTAAGTTTGAATTGCATTTGGGCTAAGATTTTTGCAAATATCTCGAAAACTAAAGCCGATCGAACTTTATCACGAACTTTATTTTCAAGGTGGATATTGTACACTACTAATGTGTACAAAGTAAATATCATCCTGTTTCTAAGAAATCTTTGGTGCAACTATTAAATAGTGTAACAAGTTTAACTAAAATTCTAAATATGCAATTCCGACCCAAATGGATATATAATAAATACTTCTCTTGCAAATTCAGTTGTATACAACGCGTGGAAATCTCATGTTCAAAACACCCAGTAGTAGTTCGACTATCTACAACCTGGAAAGAATTTTTTTTCCAAAGATGTTTGTAGAAGACACGTATGTATGTACCGGGTACCTCTGCACAATCATGCAGTCGGTTTTAGCAATTGATAGAAACGACGCGCGCAGCAGTGACGACACAAAGTCACACCCGGTATTACGTGATCATGCATTTATATAACACCCACATTATCCTTGCATTATATGGTTAGCAGTGGTGACAGCACAGAGAAAGTTCCTATCCGTTCCCATATGCTCGAGCGGCTGTATGGTCTACGCTCGACGCCTGAACTACGTGTTTCGATTATGCTCGACGCAGTTTGGTATCGTGCTTCGACGATATCTTTACGCGAATTTCCTTCGGGCTCTGGCCAATACTATCTACCTTAACTATAAAAATTATCCGAGAAAAACCATTATAAAAATGACGTTCGTGTCTGTTTGTTACAGCAGCGCCAACATGCGTGAGAAAAGGTGGCTTCTACTCGCTCTGTACGGTAAGTGAATCGAACTCTTCTTCTCTTCCATACCGAAACATATTCGACTTGCAAATTCAGTGAACGCCGACGGTGGAAAGAGGTCAATTTCCAACGTCGAACTACTCGTTTAAAATCTCGATCGAGTTTCTACGCGAGAAAAACTCCTCGACGTATCCTTTTGTATTTTTGGACTTTCCATATCCGGAGAGGAATGCCGAAGAACAGCGGTCGACCTTCCAATCTGAGAGTTTTGCATCGGCGCGTTCAAGGTTCGTTCACACCGACATTCCGCGAAACCCTCTTCAGTCAACGCAGTTATTCCCCGAATAGAATTTGATAGGACGTCAGTCAACACGAAGGATCGTACGTTTCGTATTCGTGACGCGAACCAAGGTACGCGTGACGCGCGAAACAGCTTTGCCAGAAAGATTCCACGGGAGAAAAGATGAACCTGTGGCGCATAACAAGTCCGACTCCTTTGTTCTATTGCGACGCGCGGCGGAAACCGACGGGCTCCAAAATCCTCGATCGAAATGTCGGGATCGATGTATTTGACTACCGGGGAATCTTCCATTTTTCTGTCATGCAGTGACAGTAATTCTGTCTGATTACTTTTAGTCTTTTTTGTTATTTTTTAACATGCTGAATTAGTCAACTACGTACATACGTACTTTTGAGTTTGAGTAATGGTGACAATTTTAAAAATGGTGTTAAATGTGTGGAAAAATAGGAAGTATCGATCACTTCATAATGGCTACTGGTGATCAATACTTTAAACTTATATAGGTGTTGTAATACTATTTATGACGGAAGAACCCTTATACTTGTAAAATTGCAAATAATGATATTTTAATTAACCCATTTGCAGGCAAGCCTAAATTATAAGAAATTATATGAACTTATTCCTACTACCATTTCTGTTTTGAGTGTTATTGTTTATCCAAGTTCTGTTATTTTTTGATAACTATATTTTGTCATAAATAATTGTCTACATGCTTAAAATTAAACACGAGAATACTCATGGTTGTCATTGGTTGGAACACTTTTATATTTATGTCTGTGGCTATAAAAAGTTGGCAAATTCAAAACGTTTTATATTATAACTAGACTGTGTATCTTTATGCAAATTCATATTTTTATCAATAGAATTAATGAAAAGGAAGCTTTGTAGAGGGTTGTCTCAATCCCTAAACATAATAATTCGTATCTTACTTTAAGTATTTCTTGTATTTTCGCATGTTAAATGCATTCTATAGTTTTTTGAGAATTAAAATTCTCCACAAATGTCTATTTAAGGTACCACGTGTATCCTCGTGATTGGCAGCGAATGGATTAAGAATGTTATAAAATGACAGGGACTATTGAATTATCGAATATTTCTATGTTTCACAGTATAATTTGAATAAATAAGACATCTTTAGATATGAAAAATTAGTATTTTGTGCTTTGGCTGAATTAATGTATGTGTCTCCATACAGCTTTAACATTCAAGTTCAGATTTAAACACAGCTATCTTATTGTTGAACCTCGACCTTTACTTTGTATAATGTTTGTCCTATTTTGTAAAATTTCTGTATTTGTTTTTCGAGTCTTAACGAATAAAATTAAGGGGGGAATCTTATGTAACAGGCGCTAAAATTAAAATTTCCTCTTTAGTTTTTTTTTTGTAAAGAATTACAAGTTCTATTGTACTCGACTTTTAGGAACATGAAGAGAGACCTTTAAACTATACGAAAATATTTTTTAGTTCATTTTTTATTAAATAGTAGTTAAGTCTTTTAATTCTATCCGACGATGTAATCATAGTTGATGCACAGCGTAGCATCAAAAAGCAACAAACGAAAAATTTTCTTAACGCTCGTTGGTTTCCACCGGTACTGAACTTACTTTAAACAAAAAATATGGAAAATTTAAAAAACTATACGCATAAGAAATAATTTTTTTTGGTATAAAAATTTGTTCCGGATAGGATTAAAAGACTTAACTAGTATTTAACATTAGGACTATCGACAATTATAGTATGTTTATTTGCACCAAAGGTATTAAAACGATAGACACGTGAAAAAAATGTACAATGCAATGGAAAGAAGTGTTTATTTATTCTCATAGAAAATTATGGTAAATTTTCAAAATTGAGTAAATGAAAAGTTTTATTATAAATTACAAATGGGTCATTTTGACTGCTTTAGTAGTTTTAGTGTTAATAAAAGATAATAAAAAATGGACTAAAAAAATATTTTTGTATAGTTCAAGGGTCTCTTTTCATGTTCCTAAAAGTCTAGTATAATAGAACTTATAATTTTTTAGAAAAAAAATTAAAAAGGAAAAGTTTAATTTTAACACCTGTTACACGAGAATCACCCTTTAATAACTCAATGTTTGTGAAATTCAATTTAATATAAAACCTATTAAATTCTTGCCTGTGACAATTATTATTCTATATATATGCTTGCCTATTATTTCGCACAAGTTACTAAGAATAATTTTGCACGTAAATCTTTAAACTTTTTTCATCTTATACTACCTCGTTAACAGGTGCAGTGAATAGTGTTTGAAATACTTCTGTTTCTGCGACAACCGGTTGACCGGTTACAACAGAACCAAATAAGAGAGAGTCTATGTATTTGGAAAGTATCTTCGAGAATAAAATTATTTAAAAAACGAATGAAATGGCACGTGATTCGATAGGATTCGAGTCCGATACAACTTTGTGCAACTCGAAAGAAGAAAAATTGGCCAGTTCTAGGATACTCGAGCCCACCAGATAGCAAAGGCACACGCAATCGCAGTGTCCAGTGGAAGGTCTCAAACCGGCCGCGTGACGGTACATTAACATTTAACGCGGTTCCTGACATTTTCACCCGTTCGACGAGTGTTATTCGTTCCTCGCGAGCAGAGACAGTCGAGGCCTTCGAAAACTTGTTTGAAAGCTACCAAACGACGCAGCAATGGTCTGCGCGGCGCTCGCCACCTCGGGACCACAAAAATTTCCACCCGTGTTCGCCGCGAGCCGTGCTCGACACATTCCCGAACGATCCTGACCTTCGCGATCTCGATCCACGACTCCAAGTACCGCACCCGATCGAGGCTGACGGTTCGATCGAGATCTCCGCGCGCCCGTTATCGTCACGAAGGGAAACCAATGTCGTCACGCCCTTCTTAATGAAAATGTCAGGACGTTCCCATTCGTGTGGGAATCGGACAATCGCGGATCGGAGCGATCCGTTTGCGCCGCCGGTAGGCCGATTTCGTCATGAAATTGTGTTTCGCCGTTACGTTTGCGAGCCGGGGCGAGGCGTGCCCACGCGAGCGTTTCCCACAAACGGAATGCGAACTCGTTCCCATAATTCATTTTTATGCAACGTCGTCGGTGCTCGTTATCGATCCCTGCTTGGAAAACCAAGATCCCGTTACGAAGGTGTACCTGCAACCGTTGCTGGCGGACTACATGTGTTTTTCAGCGTCGAGGACGCCTACTCGCGAACCAGGTCCATAAAGAGCAACTTATAATGAAGACCGTTAAAAATGAGCAAATTTTTAAAGTCGACTGGAACGTAGAATTCTTCTAGAGAAGAAGAATTCTAAATGTGTAAAGAATCTCAAACTAACGGTCACTTATCCGAAAACTGATGGGAAAATTGGAAGAAACATCGTTAAATGCAAGAAAATGACCGTAGTTAAAACTAGTTAAAAAAGAGGCACTCACAATGAAGATTGTTAAAAACGAATGAATTTTTGAAGTCGTCTGGAACGGCGAATTCTTCCACAGCATGATTCTAAACTGTGCAAGGAATCTCAAATTAATACTCATTTATCCGAAAACTGATGGGAAAGTTGGAAGCAGCATCGTTAAATGCACGAAAATGACCGTAGTTAAAACTAGTTAAAAAAGAGGCACTCACAATGAAGATTGTTAAAAATGAATGAATTTTTAAAACCGTCTGGAACAGAGAATTCTTTCACATGATTGTAAATGTTGCAAAGAATCATTAACTAACAATCATTTATCCAAAAAGTGATGGGAAAGTTGAAAGAATCGTTATTAAATGCACGAAAATGACCGTAGTTAAGTTCCATTGGAGTTTTTCAATCTGACTTACAAGGCTCATGTTCGCTTTATGAAAATTGTTCATTTTTAATATATATAATAATATGTCTTTATTGTACACTTGTGCATATCAAAATCATAAAAAAGTGCAGTGGATAGAGACAAAGTAATAGAGCAAATATAATGGGCTTATATCTTACAAAGGACGAGATTCAGCAATAAATTGACATAAAATGCTATTATGTGTCGATAATATTATGGTAATAGGCTAGACTTCTGATGAACCTGGTCGAACAAGCAAATGGCCGATTAATTGACAAATATGTTCCAATTGATTGTATTATTCATTTTATATTAGATTCTATAAATATATTTAGTATGTACTTGTATAAATAAACAATTAATATGAATTTTACTATTTAGGATCTATACTATCGAATAAAAATGTTAGATTCTAGATATGAGAAACAGTCTTAAACGCTTATCACATGCATATCCACAGCTAGGTTTCTCAAGCCTAATTAGAAACAGTTATTAATTCGATTAAGTACTGCGATGTAATATTTTTTCTAATTATATTTGACTTGATCCAAATATTTACACCTATATCTATAACAACAAGTAGTGCAGAAAGGAGATTTTCTACCTTTAAGAAACTGAAAATACTATAACAATCAAATTTGGGCTTGCATTAGCCAATATCCACAAAGACAAAAAATCAACTAGAACAACGTAATAAATCTGTTCCATAAAATAAAGATTGGCCGTAATAATAGAATTAATTTCTTAATATTTGACTATTAATTTATTTCCTTAATTCCTAGAGATGGGATTCCAGAATCAAAATTGTAGAATGCTATTACAACTTTTAAATCTGCCAATATTACTATATATAGTTTTTCAATGTTTATACATTACAATGGTATTATTACCATACTATGAAAAATATTAAATAATTAGAATTAAATCTAATTTTTTAAATCCAAGTTTTACTTACCTCGTTAAAAGTAAATTTATTTTGAGTATTTATAATATCGAATAAATGGAGTATCACGAATATGGAAAATAGAATTATTCGGTATAAAGTTGATTTGTAGGATGTTATGGTAAACAGTTTAAACACCCTGCAGTTCAATGCCCCATAGAAAGCTCGAGAAACGGGGAAAGTATTTGGTTTTTCACCCAATGACAGGTTATCCTATCTTGTTCAAACTGTTCTTACTAATCCGTTGGCCTTGAACCGGTTCGTTCTAATTAGGCGAACCTCGCGAGCAAAAACTCTATGGTAATTAGCGTTCATTAAAGGCATCAAGGGGTAAGTCTCACTATATCGCATAGCTACTTTATCGTTCCATTCGTTACGATTCTTCGCTTTACGTTCGCTCTGCCCCATTGTTTCGAGATTTACGAGAAATAGTGATTTGTAACGAAACAACATCTACAAGATAAGCGTGAGAAAATAAGTATAAGAGTGAAAGACTAAGGTAAATAGGTTTCATTGGCAATTCTAAGACAAAGGAAGGTTGCACCACAGAGACTCTCCTGCGCAGGGCGAGGCACCTAACTCGACCATTTTAAATTTCTCATGAACTGTTTGTTATATGAAAAAAATATTTCAATCAAACGTACAGTGTACTAAATAGCTTTTTTGTTATTTTGCTTTTCTATGCAGATACAAAGATCACCTTGAGTTTTTTTTTTAATGCAGTGGGTAACATTTATCCCAGCATTTCGAAAGACTTCTTTTTACAATGAATTTGTTTATAATTGCAGTACGTTGCAACATTAATTTTGTTCCGGGAAACGTTTTGTAACGTCAACTAAGTTGCTTTCCCGGAAGAAGTAAAAAGTAAAAGTCTTCATTGTCTATTCATGGTACCGTATATTTTTATGTTTCCAATGCATGTACATATAATGACTACTACACTGCATCGTGCACGTAGCAATACAAATAAAACAAACTGATTAAATCTTTTTACGCTGAATAAAAAAAATGTTAAGATATAGATCTAAAGCTAGTAATTACTCAGATATTTTTTAAATGATTTATAATGTAAATTGAAACAATTTTTAAAATACTTCTAGCATTCTTCTTGATACAGAACGACACACGTTATCAGCCTATTGTTCGACTCGAAAAGAAGCTAGTTGAAATGTCGAAATATTTTTCCAAAGGTCACGACCTGCACCTCGAAGCCTCGATCGGTATTTACAGTCTAAAAAGATAGTTATGAAATATCATTGTTCTTCTAATCAATTACAGTACATACAAGATAGAATAACACTGCGATTCATGTCGGTTCTGTTAATTGGAGTCATCAGTAACGCTTATCTAGCAAATTCTATCTTACAATGCAAACCTTGTTAGACACAACGTTATTATAGATTGATCAACCTGTTCAAACTAATTGTGTACTGATCAAGTATCGAGTAATTGGGGATTGTTTAAACGATTAATAACCTCACGGCTAAGCCTGGATTTACGAGATAAATCTTATTGATGGATTCAAGTAATAAATACAAATAATATTTATTATAAAAAAACAGGTTTTTTTAATATATGGAGGGGTTTCTAGACGATCCTGCAAATCTTTCACAAACTGTGCATTAATTTTATTTGCAGCTTCGTTATTTGATGTATCTACAGTATGTGTGAAAAGTATTCGTACAGTGACTAATTACGACTAAAATGCTGAATAATAATGTTTATTAAACAATATTTTTTAAACAAACATGTTACATGTATACTCCAAAGTCTGTAGAACAACAATATCAAACAAACAAAAGAAATATTTATATTATTTATATGAATATCAAGAACAATGAACAAAATGAGAGAAATGAACGCGTAATAAGTATTCGTATAATTCTGTTGCCATTGCCAAGTGTACAAGTAATTTAAATATTTGTAACAAAAGCAACAAATAATTGTAAAATTAATATCTAGAATTAGTATTTAGTAGGGTTTCCCTTTGATTTTCTTATTGCGGCTAGTCTTCTAGGTATTGAATTAACTAAATTAGATGTGATTTCATTAGTAATATTATTCCATTCGTTAATTAAAGCATTTTTTAAGTCTGTTTTAGATGAAATTGTATGTTTTCGAATTGCTTGATCCAGATAATCCCATAAATGCTCAATAGGGTTAATATCTGGTGATTGCGGGGGTGTTTACTTGATATTGTTGTTCTATAGACTTTCAGGAATACATATAACATGTTTGTTTAAAAAATATTGTTTAATAAACATTATTATTCAGCATTTTAATCGTAAGTGATCACTGTACGAATACTTTTTACACCTACTGTAAGTATGTTTTGTTTACATCCTCTTTTGTAGAAAATGTCCATATAGCTGGACCTCAATAGAAGTTCAGTAAATCGTGCATCGATGAAAATATCATACCAAATAAATTGTACTGTAGATTAAAATTGCAGGCGGACAAGTTAGCTTTTACACTTACGAGTGTGGCGCGTGGAACGGCGACAAACGTCCGCAGAGGCGTCGATCGTTTGCTACCGCGCCCGAGTAGAATAGAATTGTTTAGCATATCGTTCGCGGACCCTGCGGGAACGATAAATCAACAAAACCCGGTGAAAGAACACGATAAATAGACAGCCTTGATCCGCTTGAAAACAATTACCCAACCGAACGAACGCGTTCACCTGCGCCGCGAAAATTGCAACACTTACGCCGTGCAAGTCTAGTCTCTTCTCTCGCGTACTGGTTTCGCAACACAAGATGCTTCTTCGTGATTTTCGCAATCCACGGATGCGTGGCGGCCTTTGATTGTTTTTTCTCGCGGTTGTCCCGTTCCAGTATTCAAACGAATCCACTCGTCTCGGTGCATTTGACACTTTGTTACCCAGCGACCAATCCGGAAGGTTTGCTTCGAACAAAGGGGCGACATATGTCAAACTATACACTTTTTTGGTCACACTTTTTATATTTCTATTCTTTGCTAACCGCAGTCCAATTTTCTCTTATTCTTCTGCAGTGATCTTTCTACTGGTAATTTCAGTTGGATAATCTTCTTTTGCTTATATCATCAGACTGATAAGCATCGAATGATACGAATCTTTTATAGACGTTGGCTAGCATTACAGGAAAACCAACGTAAAAGAATAAAAATATATTGCAACACAGAATGACAGCATAATTTATCCGATAATCTTCGAATAAATTAGTACCCGAAAAAGAGGATGGTTTTGGTATGTAGTAGACTGTGATGGATTGCTTTAAAACGAGCCCACGCTTTGATTTTACACTAGATAAAACTTTACTAGTAGTTGTAACAATGCTTGGCCCAAAGGTGTAGGTTCGATGTATTCTCTTAAGTGAGTTCTATACGCGTGTGTTTGTACACTTGTTGATTCAACTGTGAATCTATGATTAGGAGTTTGTATTTTATATGGTGGCGAAATGAAAGATTTCTGATTGGTGTGTATTCTTATAGGTATTATTCTTGCATTATTTATAATTTTTGGGTAAACGTCGGTCGGTCATAATAACTATTAATGTTTATGGTAGTAATTTGCAAATAATATGCAGCTGTCCAGAATGTCCTCGATTTATGACGATTCTTTATGCAAATTCATATTTTTATTAATAGATTTAATGAAATGGGAGCTTTGTAGAGGGTTGTCTCAACCCCAATTTTTGCATGTTAAGTACATTCTGTAGTTTCTTAAGAATTAAAATTTCCCATAAATGCATAAACATCCGTAGTCTAGTCATTATTGACGAGTCCAATCTGAACATGTAAACCAAAATCACCGATATGGAAACTTTGCACACTTTTAATATATCTAGGACTCATCGAACGTGTAGCAATCGTTATAAGCTTCTTTATCGAAAACATAGAACCGCGAAGGATTAATCGATGACAAAAGAGTTCTCCGATGACCGGTTTCTGATGTTTCTTTCGAATTCCAGGAATCGTTTTGGCCAATGCAGTTTCGGCTGCAGTCAAGGCTACTAGACCGAAATTCAAGATCGCGACAACCTCGACTACCACGTCCACAACCACCACCGAGGAGAGCCACGTCCACGAAAACGAGAACGAGGATGCAGAGGTAAATCGACTTTCTAACGACCCGGCGCGATTGCGTTCTAAATTTTTCGTTTAACCACTTCATCGAATCGGGACGGTGCACGGACGAGTTTACGGCGCAACAGCTTGCAATGATCGCGGTAGCATCATCTCCATCGCGTTGCATTTACGTGTACCGGAATAGAACAGGGAGATCGTTTATCGTCTATGATGCAAATCGTGGCAACGATGGTACAGTCACGACACCACCACGCGTCTATTTCTATTCTCCAGCCGCGTCTTCGTGCATTTAACGAGCACGCGAAACCGGGACGAAGATGCAGCGATTCTATCTCGAGTAACGATCGGTTAAACGTTTTCTATTCTTATTGTTTTCTGGCTAATCGTAATTTTATCGCAATCCTCTCGTCGATATTTTTTAATCATAATAACGTCAATATTGAATTAATCGACGCGTGGTTGGGCTACCATCGCGCGCGACAGGTTCACCTTCACATACAAACGACACTGACATCATCGAACGACTATCAAGAGCTCATCACGCTGAGACCAGGATGCGTTAAACGGCTACCGTGTCTCTCGGTGCTGGGCATACGGACCAACGTGACGCGATTCGTTAACGAAAGAATGCTTTTCGCGATTTGTTTCAGTCGACCGCGACTACGGTTGCCACCGAGACGAACGGGACGACCGGACACACCCTAACGGGAATCCCCCAGATCGACTACATCTGGGACCCGAATTTGCCCCGCGAATTGAACGGCTACAATCTCAGCGACTATCCGTTTTACAACAGCATACCGGAGGACATCGACTTCAAATGTGACGGCTTGCACGATGGATTCTACGCGAGCGTGCCTCACAAATGTCAGGTGAGAAGACGCTTTGCAATTACCGCGACGTGGCATTAATAGCTCCAAGTACCATCAGCGAGCTTTCTTTCGATCGCGTCATCGTCCAAAGACTCGTCGCGGTACATTTGGAGATACTCGGGTTGCACAAGAGAAAAATGCTAAAAATAATAAGCAAGAAAGTTCTCAAGTAAATGTAACAAATAGTAACATGGAGAGCTTTTTTTTAAATATGTGGAGAAGATCAATTTTTTCACCTGGAAAAACAGGAATAAAATACGCGTCGATTGCTTTTTGAAATATTAAAATCGACCAATCCGTTCAGAAATTATGATGTTTTAAAGATATGCATGTAATTTCAGGGAATCATTTCTGGCCTCACATTAGATTTTCGTTAAAGAATTTTTTTTCTCAAAAATGCGTAGGATTCCAGGGATGTGTGTAATGATCAATAATAATTGTTATCGACCCGTGCAACCAAAAATAATTTTTTCAAAATGATTTAAAATTTTTTAATTTAATTTTTTAATAACTTTTTAACGAAGCCTCAGTCAAGAAATTGATATTCTTGATTTTAGTCTTATTTTGGCCTCTAGAATATCCCATTAAAACTTTTCCCCGGGGTGGCCAAACACCATTTATACAGAGCGTCCAAAAAGGTTGGACAAACTTATACTACGCGTTACACATGTCAAATACATAAAAAAAGTTCATATAAACTTATGCTCCGAAAATGCTTTATTGAGATGATGTAAGCTTTTAAAAATATTTATGATTTACTGTCTCAGGTATAAGAAATGTTCGATTGGGAATGCATTCAAAATACATTCACTATGATTTCTAATACAAATCTAATATTTGAAAGAGTTCGACTATCACTAATTCGACGAATGGAAGTCTGGATTCTTGCAAAGGGAAGCATTTTCAAACATTTCTTATAAGTGCCATATTAAATCATAAATTTCTTTGAAAACTTATATCTTTTCAATAAAGCATTTTCGGACAGAACCTTCGTTGCAGGAGTTGAAAACAGTTGTACTATCGGATTTAGGTCTTGAAACAGTTGTGGAAAACCGAATTGATATCACATTGATATGAAAATAAGTCCTATGACAAATTGTGGGTGTGCTAGTTTCTAAATGTCCAAAAACAAAGTTTCATTTTTATGGACAATTTGAGATGTTTGGTCTAGCAGCCAACGCGTTAAAATAATCCACCCAAAATCAACTTGTGACCCACCAGTGTGGGGGAATACATACTTTATACACTGCCTTTTTTCTTATTGAAACATCTTTCCATAATGGAATAAATCATTACACAAATAATGCGAATTATTTATACATTAAAAATATAAGATTAAATGTTTATGATATTAAAGAAAAAGCAAAAAGATTATTATTTTTCTATTTCTAAACGTTTTATGTTTGCTATTTTACTTTATTCAAATATGACACGATTGTTGTGAAACATTCTATCTCCTTATTAGATTTGGATAATGGAGATTCTATTATATATTAGTAATAAATTCCACTCGTGCCTTAACCAATAACGAACGACAACAGAATATATGTCTATCTAGAGACGCGACCAATCCTTTCACTCATCTTTTCAGCTCTGCACAATAGTACGTTTCCTTTAACACTTTGAATGCCATATATGGGTGAAAGGTCTTTTAACTATGGAACTAAAATAATTAATTCTCAAGTTGAAATGTTAAATAAATTTGAATAGGATTCATGAATTTTAGCAAGGTCACGAAAATAAGTGCCAAGACAAAATTTTAAATTATGTAGTTTATAATTGTTAAACTCGAAGTTTTAGTCTCATAAAAAATTTCATGATTTCAGTCTGACAGTCAACGTGTTAATAGAAAATAGAATTCTGCAATTTTACATATGGATAAAATTCGATTGTAGGTTTCTTCAAAGTCAACGAGTGTATAAATGTTTTCAAGATCTACGGTTCTCTTAGTTTTTTTAGATGGAAACAAGCAAAATACTATTAATTTACATTTAACGATGTTTTGAACGTTCCAACGGAATACTCGTCGGTTTGGTTTTTATGTCCGTCGGATTTTGTTATTCAGGACAGCATTCTTAATTAAGATGAAATTTATTCTGCCCCATTCTCGAAGACCTTGTCTGGAAAAACAAAAATCTGACGCGTCTGCGAAAGCGTGTGCCACGTAAAAGATCGTACAACGAAGGACAGGCAATGTTTGTGCGGTAAAAGCACCTGTTACTACTGGGCTAGACACGTTTTGCACGGTGATCACCAACGAACCTTTTTAGACTCGATCTAATAAGGTCCAGTTTCTCGAGGATAAATCGGTCTATATCGCCGCATTCTCGAGGAATCTCTGCACGCCCCATATAAATCCCTGCCCACTGACACGTATCGGCGTAATAAATGAGGAACGTTCGAACGTCACGAAGAGAAAAAAAGAACATAAAGTACAGGGTGTTTCCTAACGCGCGACTGGTACCGCAAAGATAGATTCAGGGTCTTCCAAGAAAAGAAAATCGTCTAATCATTAGGATTCAATTGTGAGAATATCGAAATACTGGTACACGTTCCCACATTTTCTTAAACGAATTAGACTTTTTTCCTTTTTGAATTTTACTTCAAAATAGTAGGAATTTTAGAGAATTTATAAACCCATATTATCCTAATCATCCTAAATAATAATTCCGAATTCGCGAATCTTATGTGATGAATAACGCTACACAAATAAAATATGAGAAACACACTTTATGCAAAATGAATAATGCATTTTTAAAACCATTTAATGAAGAAACAAATGGCAGTCTGAATCCCAATTTTTTACCTGTTTTATATAAAAGTATTACATTTGTATCGACATTTACAATTTAATTATTATGGATTCTCGAATATTTGTGCTATGGAGAGAGGTGCCATATTTAAGTAGATTCAGATACAGAAATCGTATAGATCAGACACGTATTACAGTAATCCCTTACTAACGTTCACTCAATTCTGCGATGCAAATACTATCGAGGAAGGATCTGTTTTGGGAATTGATAGCTGTTATCTCTAATCAGATCTAAAATCTAGAATTTTTTTATTTCATTTTCTGCATTTCCTGTACTTCAGAGTTTCTTTCAGAAACTGGCGTTGTGTACCTGTTATATTATAATCATTTTTTATATTTGCATTATACTACTATGTTGGTATGTCTTAGTTTAAATTATTATCATAAAAAGTATACAGAGTGTTCGGGCACCCATCGAAAAAATTTTAATGAGAGATTCTAGAGGCCAAAATAAAACGAAAATCAAGAATACTAATTTGTTGATGGACCCTTCGTTAAAAAGTTACTAACGTTTAAAATTCCGCCAGTATTGAATTTTTTCTCGAAAATGTGCAAGATTTCTGGGGTATATCTAGTCATCAAAAATGATTGCAATTGATCCCCGCAACCGAAAATTATTTTTTCCAGAACGATTTGAGATTTTTTAATTTTGTCGAAAAATTTCACACCTTCCCGAATGTTTTTCTAGAAAGTGAGTAGGATTTCGGGAGTATGCATATTGACCAACAATGATTGTAACTGACCTCCGCAACCGAAAATAATTTTTCAGAACGATTCGAAATTTTTATTTGCTGAAAAATTTAAGCAACTACCCCTGTCGATTTTTATTAAAAATTCGTTTTTCATTTATCATAAATTTGTTTGACTCTTTACAGAAAAGTTGTTCAATACTTTTTTGTTGGAATCCATGGGCTCTACTTTAGAAAAAAGTTTCATTGAAATATATTCACTGTTGTAAAAGTTAAGGCTGTTTGAAAATAGGACCATTTTTATGGGGTTTTTCTCATTTTACGGGGTCAAGGAGCAACTTTTCCAATATTTTTAGAATTTCTACATATTCTTCACTAAAATACGCGTCGATTACTTTTTGAAATATTAAAATCGGCCAATTCGTTCAGAAGTTATGATGTTTTAAATATTCGCATGAAATTTCAGGGAACAATTTCAGGCCTCAGATTATATTTTCGGTAAAGAATTTTTTTTCTGGAAAGTGCATAGAATTTCGAGGGTGTGTCTATTCACCAAAAATGATTGTAATCGACCCTCGCAACTAAAAATAGTTTTTCCAGAATTTTGGTCTTATTTTGGCCTCTAGAATCTCCCATTCAAATTTTTCCCAGGGGTGGCCGAACACACTGCATACTTTATTTTCATTCTTTTTTAGTCTTATCCACAAGTGCAAATATGGTTATCATTTTCTTTGGAAAAAGCTCAGCAATGTGATTTAAATAATTTCATAATTATAAATTGGAAAATAGAAAAATTTTATTTTTGTTTATTTAATAATTCATTTGTAGTCGGAGTTCTAGGAATTGGTGGGTATGACACCGCGAACAATATCAAGGTAAAAAATAGGGAACATTAGCAAAGGATCACTGTATATTAACTTAGTGGATAAACATTATCGAGTTTTGTAATTTGAATTTGTTTCTAAATATAATCTGTATTAAAGAATTGAAAACCGACCTCGGATGTTTTTACTAAATCTCGTTCCTCACACAATGTTTAACATTTGCTCTCTATCATTTTCTTTGTCTTCTAATGTACTTTTTGGGGATTTCAAGCGTGTAGTATGATATTTCGTGTTCCTATTACAGTACTTTAATGTTACCAGAAGGACATAGTCCAATATGATTCTTTCGAAGTTTTTTCACTCCGTTCGTCTACACAATTTGGGGTGGTAAACTACATAAACGTAGATAAAACGCAACACCATTTGAGGAAAACCTACATCGAGAACATTTTAAAAAGCCAGAATTTCAGTATACATACATACTGTATTCATAACAGAAAACGAGGCATACGTAAATGTAAAATATCACCTCACAAACATCTAAAACACTTGTAATAAAACAGTTAAGCAAACAGTACCATAATTTCTTTCATAATAAAAATAATATGCACTCGTATAACATGTCCTAACTTGTCTTCGTTAGTGTGTACGATGTTTGAAAAAAACTACGTGCGT